AAAGCAGGCACAAGGGTGGAAACTCAAAGATAGTGACAGGGTGTTTAATGCTAGATAAAATAGCAAACAACTATGATTTCAATCACTTACTGCTAGATTTATTTTTTCCTCAGGTCACAGTTGATTGTGGGTTGGTAGAGGGGCTTTGCTCTTCACAAATTCAAAAATCTAAATTTAAAGGGCACCATGGAAAGAGAAAACAGAGCTCATAGGAAAGGCACCCTTGCTCCTTATGCTTTGGACTGCTCATGTTATATTGGTTAAGCTGATTAAATATCCTGCAATATAGTTAGCCCAGGAAGAGGAAACTGATGGTGAACATTTTACCAGTCTCTGCCATACCTATCACCTATTTTAATCAATAATTTTTTCAACTCAATGATTTCATGTTAGTAGGAAAAATATTAATTTGAACAATTTACTCTGAGGAAAATTAAAAGAAAAATTTAGGCAATTATGGAGGCAATTTAACCAAAAAGCATTTTGGTTTTCATTATCTGATCATTTCTATTGAAATTGTAGTTGATTATATTTTATGTTGTAAGAGGAAGGACTACATTTTAAAGATGCTTTTAAAAAATGAACTTTGGCATTTTAAGAAAAAGCTAAATATAAATGTGTTATCAAAAAAGAACAGCTGATACATATTCTGATGATAGCAGATCAATGTTTAAATCCTGGACTAGATGATCAAACTTTAACAGCCAACATTTTAATGACTGTCTCTCCCAATGTATCTCAAATGCATTCTATTAGCAAACATGACAGTCCAATTATTTCCATGGCGCTTAGCATTTCATGGTGGCCTGTTGCCAATAGTAGAATATAGGGTGGGAAACATGCCAAAGAAGTTAACTGATTTTAAAAGCTAAAATATTGCCAACACTGAAAATTCAGGGTTTATGTGAGGTTAACTCCCCTGACCCTATTTAAACTCATCAGATAAGTAAATATCTTGGCATCTACTTAAGTAATAACTCTTTCCCTTTATATTATGCAAAAAAAAGGAGATAAGTCAATTTTGCTACAAAGAACATGTTAGTAAAATTTTATGTCATATAAAAGGAAAAGTTTGTTTTACTTATCACTAGAGAATATAAAACAAATCAAAAATACATTGGTAATCTATCATTGATCTGGCCTACATCACTAAATCAAGAGTATAAAAAATTAGCCTTTCAAAACAGAAAAGAAATATAGGTAAATGAGATAAACTACAAAAGTATATGTCCAACCTTGGATTGTATAGGACCTTGTTTTCTGTCATTTTATAACTAGTAAGGAAAACAATAAATATGTTGGAAAAATATATTGGAAAAATATAATCTGTGACTCCCAAAAAAGTCTGCATGAGGGTAAATATTAGAACCATATCTAATAGTGTCTGATCCATAGTGAAAGTTTCATGAAGGTATACTGAATGACTAAATAAATAAATAATATAATTGAAAGAGAACTGACATCAGAAGAACTAGGCTATGCTATACCAACTAGCCAAACAATAGCAAATAATTATAATAACAGCTATACTTGGTAGAGTGCTTGATAGAGGAAGTTGTTATAAACATATGCATTACATCATAACCCTATGAGGAATATACTACTCTTATGCTCATTTAACCAACAAGGAAACTAAGGTACAGAGGCTGATGGCAGAGCTGGGGTCCATATTCAGGTAGTTTAGCTCTCGAGCTCTCCATATACCCACTGCATTATATATCTCATTATATATTATTATATGACCTTGGGACACCCTTTTCATTTTGAGCCATATCTTCATCACTGGTGAAATGTTGGATGAGATGTCCTCTCAACTCCCCTGTATTTCTAAAAAGTTTATTCTACCTAAAGTGGATTTGGGCTTATATGTGTAATTAGTATTGCAAACGAGACATTGGCAAATTTCCTCTAAAGGGCCAGATAATAAGGACTTTAGGCTTTGTGACCCATATAGTGTCTGTCACAATTACTAAACTCTGCCATTGCAGCATGAAAGCAGCCACAGACAATACATAAACAAATGGGCATTATGTTCCAATAAAGCTTTTATTTACAAAAACAGGCAGTGGGCTGGATTTGACCAGCAGGCTACATATAGTTTGTTAACTCATGTCCAAAGTATAATAAAAGAATAGTTAGGCTAGGATTAGCAAGAACAAATTTAAGAATATTCAGTATCAGTGCTAGGAGAAATCTTGACACATCAGATGTTCAAGACTTCTGCCTTCACAACTACATCACTTAGGACATATGACTGACTGTCTTACACTTGGTTTCTAGGAAGAGAGACTATACAGATTCAAACACCAAATTAATCCCTGTCAGTTTTTATAAATTCAAGATAGGAACACATTTGCATACAGTGCTATATTTCAAAAAGCTGTAGTCTGGGGCTTGCAAATCACGATTAGGTTACCAGGCTAGGTCACCCAGATGCATGTTATAGTCAAAATGATACCCATATGCAATAATACACACATACACACTCTCTCTCTCTCTCTTCCACAGAAGGAATATTCTTATACATACACATTTTAGTTACAACCTTTGCTAAATAAAATTTAGATTTTATTATTTCTATTAAAAATATATTCCATAGTAAACAGTGAGCAGAAAACATTTGTACCAAGAACATAGGTCATTTCCTCTTAAGGGAGCTGAAGGGACAATTTGGTCTAATGCCTCAACTTCTGTTTCGGCTGTATCTATCTGATAATTCAAAAAAAATTAAAATAACTTTACATTTCATTCAGTAAAGAGTCTGATACTCTGTTCTGTACCTAGCACTAGATTAGAACTTCTGGTGGACAGGAGTTAAATGAGTTCCCTCTGTTCTTAAGCAGCTTATACTTAATTTTTAAGATAAGATATTCTTAAAGAAAAGTGTTTACTAATGATAAACTTGTTGAATAACAATACTGGTAATAAATAGCAGTAAGAAAGTTAAAAGCAATTCAAAATTATAAGAAATATCATGTAGGATTATATAATTATCTACCAGTGGAGGATTAAGAAATATTTTATAATTTAAGAGGAAGAAGAGATTGTATGGATTATAGTAACCTAGAAAAGTTTTGGGTTTTCATGGTTGTAAGGTCTCTTTTACTATATGTGAAGTGGTATGATATTATTTAAAGGTAGACTATAATAACTAAAGATGTCTAATGTAAACCTGAAAGTGACACTAAAATAAAGAAGTATAGCTAATAAGCCAACAAGCGACATAATGTGGAATCAACTAAAATATTCAATTAATACAAAATAAGGCAGAATAAAAAAGAGAGAATAACAGTTGGGAAAAATAGAAAACAAATAGACATATGCTACGTATGAATGTAACCCAAAGACATCAATAATTACAATAAAATGTAAATGGTCTAAACACTCCAATTAGAAGGTATGATATGCCAGATTGGGTAGAGGAGGAATTAGCCCAATTCTATGCTGCCTACAATACAATTACTTTAAATATAAAGATACATGGAGATTAAAAGTAAATCTAAAGAAAAAGACCCTGCAAACTGTAACCAAAAAATGCCAGATAAACCCCAAAACAACAAAACCAAAAATCTGGATTATATTAATATTAAACAAAACAGATTTCAGAGCAAAGAGTATTACTAGGGATAAAGACAGTCATTTTATAAGGATAAAGCAGTCAATTCATCAAAAAGATGTAACAATCATAAAAGTTTATATCCCTAATAATTGAGTTTCAAAATATACAAGCAAAAGCTGACAGAACTGAAAAAATAGACAAATCCACAATTAAAATTAATTTCAATATTATTCTCACAATAATTGAATTTTTAAACGTAACCAAAAAGATCAGTAAATATGCAAAAAACTTAAACAATAAAAAACAGTTTGATCTAATTGAGATTTACAGATCACTTCATGAAAAAACAGTAGAATGAATATATATTTGGTTTAAGTATATATACAACATTTACTAAGACAAGTAATATTGTGAAATGTAAAGCAAGTTTCAATAAATTTATAAAATTTACTTTATAAAAATTACTTTATAAAAAGTAATAAAATCATATAAAGAATGTTCTGACCACAGCAATTACACTAGAAAGCAGTAACAGAAGTATACCTGGAAAATTCCAAAATATTTAGAAAATAAATCACATACTTCTATGTGAACCCACAGTTCAAATAAAATATCAAAAGGTAAATTATTAAATATTATATAACAATTATGTACCATTGTCTCTAATTTCCATTTACTTTTGCACATCAGATTTCCACTTCTCAGGTTTTTCTTTCTAGACTAATTTTAGCTTTTGGCTCACTTTCAAGCTATCCAAAATAATTCTTTGCCAAAATTTTGGTAACTTCAATATCCAAAAAAAATGATTCTTCCAAAACTAGAACCTCAGGTTCTTGACTTCCTTTCTTCCAGTGATCTTATCCTCTGCTTTCCCTTAGTCATTCACTCTGTCAAACCCTTCTAAAATCTCAATTTTAAGCAGTTCACTCAACAACTGTTAGGTATTCCAAATCAAACAATCCTTCAATACAAAAGAACTTACAATTAATTGATCCTTTTAACTCTTCACTGCATCATATCCATCCTCTGTCTCCACTTCCCTTCTGATCTAGCTTAAATACCACAGTCACAATATTATAATAATTAATTTATATATACTATCAACTTCTTTGTGGTTTCTTGCTTAGTATATTCTCTTGGCTAAACCCAAACTGTAGTTAAACCAATTTACCACCTACCTACTCCTTGCCTGCCCCTACACAGTTTAAGGTGGCTGGAGAAAAACATACAACTTTGCTAACTCATCTCATGACCATTAAGTCACAATTGTATTTTCCTAGTCTGTTAATTCTCCCACTATCCTTGACAATTATTTCACATACTTTTAAAAACTATCAAAGTCTTTACCATACTAATTCTTACCTGATGACCTTGTTTCCTATATCACTGAGAAAACAATACCTTTCACAAAAGCACACCCTGTGTTTGTGCCCATTTACTGTTTCCTCTTCTGTTACTTTGAATGAAGTGTCTTGCTCCTAGCAAAGGCTAATTCTGCCACTTATTAATTAAATTTCTTTCTTCTCTCTTCTACTCATGACATTGACTCTGACTTTTGCTCTCCAATATCAAATTTTCCCTCTCTACTGCATTATTTCCATCGAAATATAAACATGCTTCCATTTCTCATCTCAAAAAAAAAAAAATCCAAAAAACAAAAGCATCTTAGCTACCACTCCTTTTCTCCTTCCCTTTACAGAAATACTTGTATAATGAGCAGTTTACAAAAATCCCTTCTCAGCGTAATTTAGATTCAATCCAATCATACTTTTGCCCCCAATACTTCGTCAAAACTGCTCTTATCAAGGTCCCAAATCCAGAGATCAATTCTTGTCATCTTTATCACTATATCTCCATGATTTTAAAATTATTCATCTCCCCACGTACACTGTGAACTCTGGGTGGAAATGCTGTATCTCATTTATCCTGCTATCTTGAATATTAAAAATATTTTGTTATATGTATAGCTTGTAAAACATGTCTGTTTAATGAATGAGCAGAGAAAATTCTTTAACATCTGGAAATTGGAAAATCAAACTAGAGCACACAATTATTTACTAATCGTAAATTCAGGTAGAACCCTGCTATAAAATTTAGATGAATTTCTAAGGCTTATTTTACCATCACAGATACTTTAAATCCCTATAAATCATGGAGATATACTATAAATATGAAATTTTAAAAGAAGATAAAGATTTATATATGAGTACTGAAATTTTCACAAATTTGTTTCCATTATATCATAAAATATAATTTTTTATTATAATTGAGTACTGTAAAATGTATAAGTTACCCCTTCACACATTAGAATTAAAGCCTGTTCTAAGGACATATACTTTAAATAATTAAAAACAAAACCAAGGGGAAAGACAGGGTATTCTTATCCTAAAGGGTACTCTTAAAATAAAAATAAATATAAAAATGACTCATAATGGCAGTGACACAAACTACCACATTTTACATATTCCTCCACCAAACAAATTGCTAGGTCACTGTTCATAAGATAGTTCTTATTTATCAAATGAAAATGAAAGCCTTCTAGCTCCAAATGAAATTACTTTTTTAAAAATGTAATTGTTAGAATATAGATCTTACCTCAGTTTCCAATAAAACTCATCAATGAATATACTAAAATTACAGTTCATTCTTTTCAATTTGTATTTCCAACTACTGTGTAAAAGATTACAAAAAGAAATAAAGCTCCAAGTTTTTCAAGACCTATAGCAATAACTCAGGAACAGAATGGTAGAAATGGAACCATAAACATACACTACAAGTTCCATGGGACATCTTTTCAAAGTTAAGATTGCAAGTGGACAAAGTTTGGTTTTTTGAATCATCTAGGACTCTCTTATTTAACTCACATCAGCTGGAGTGAAAGTATGCAATACATCAAATTAACTTGCTCAAATTACTTTTCTCAACTTTACAATGCCCTTTAGGAACACCATTACTGAGAAGCTATTGTTGGCATTTACAGCATAAAACTTGATTTTGGAAGGTTGATATTGCAATAGCCTAAATATCACAAAATTGAAAACTATATAGTGCCAGTTGTTTCATCATGCTAAAAGGAAAAATGAGTTTGTGGGTGATCTATGTTTGGTTGAAAAGAAAAAGTAGAGTTAGTTTCCGAATGGTTTTAATAGTTGATATAAGATATTTAGATATAAGTAAAGAATACAAAATGACTTCTATAATTTAAAAAACGCCTGTTGAAATAAATTGGTGAGTGAAAAATTAATACCTTAATATATTTGTGTATTATTTTTCATATACTAAATGTGACACTTATAAAAACATAGACCCTAACATATTGTATTATTCTTACTGGTGCACAGATTTCTATTTAAATAAAATAAAACACAGTGTTAGTCATTTAAAATAATTTAGAAATCTATTCTCCTTAATGTTTTCAAGTTCAGTACAAATCAAATCTATTACTAAGAAAAATGCATAACAAATAGGAGTAGAATGCTTATCAGTATGAAATAACCAATCTGTCTTTTAAATGAACCATGTAAAGACTATATTTCAAATGAAAATTTATAAATTGATATAGGTATCAAAAGCAACTCCTAGAAAAACAATTATATCCAAGTACAACAGTTTTTCTATTTCTTGCCATAATAAATATCATTTGTTCCTGCACATGTGAAATAAGCCGTTGTGTTTTTGTCTATTTTCCTTTATATGTACAGACATTACGTATGCAGAAAATAGCTGTCTTTTCCTTGTCTTTATGGACTCTCTGCAGTTATTCAAGTAATTATTTACAATATTGCTGCTTCTTCCAAACTCACTGGAAAAAATATTCTGATTATCTGGAGAAAAAGGAGATGTACATTGGGACTAACACTGAAACATGAATTAGAACAATAAGTAAGCTAGATCTGATTCTAAAACAACCTTACAAAACAACACACTTATAAAAATGAATTCACAAATTAACTAATACCTACTTGAATATATTATTATATTCACAACCTCTTAGTATTGATTTACAATCAGTGTATTCACGAAACATTTGTTGTTACAGATACAGATAGAAAACAATCAAGTCCCTTGTTTTGTTTAAAAATAAATAAAACAAAATTAAGCTGTGTGTCTCATGATCTATGTGTTCTGCACTCTAATGTTCCGCATGTCTCTCAGCAGCATTGGTCGGTAGTTTTGTTCCAAAATTTCCATGTATTCAAAATAATCACTCACTCGAAACCCATGCAGTGCTTCTTCCTGCCAAAAAAAAAAAAAAAAAAAATGTAACGGGGAGTTCATTCACCTTGGTAAATTCCAAATTAGTAATTTTTTAAGAGTGGATATACCATTTATTTTTCAGGTATATATTGGGGTGAACCAGTTTACATTGCCAATAAATGTGTAGTTGCTTTCTATTTAGTGGGCTGTGTATGTATATGGCAGGAAGGAACCATGTCCCCATGAAACAAGGTTATCTATTTCCAAAACCAAAAATACTTTACAGCTAACAAAAAAAAGAAACAATTAGATAATAAAATCTTCTTAATTTTAAAAAATAGTTTCAATTATAGAACTGTTTAAATTTGTAATTAGTAAAGACCTTAAAGCTTATCAAAATATAATATCATATAATATTGCAAGAAATGTCTGTTCTATAACTATTGTTCATAAAACCTCTTAGAGTTTGCAATTCATAATGTTGGTACTACACACATCTATACTAATTTGGAATTTAATGGTTAGCGCCCAAATGCGGCACTCAGGAATAAACAGTAGGAATATCCATTGAAAATTTTAGAGTCTTTTAAGTATTTTATGACCATTTTTTTTAGTACTTTCAAATACTATCTACACAGTGACTATCTTCAAGGCAAAGAAAAAAAAGTCTACAGAAGAAAAGTCATCTTTGATTCAATGCAATTAGTATTTATATTTTAGGAGTTTAGGAAGTTATAAAAAATTTGGACAATTCATACTTTTTAGGAGTTCATAGTTTAAAGACAAGAGTTTTACTAATAAAAAAACCCAAATAATCAAAAGGATAAAAGATAATACACATATCATATGCCAGATATTGTGTTAGAGGCAATTAGTTTATAGACAAGAAACATGAATGTAGGGTAGGTGGGAAAACATCACACAATTCTCAATAAGAATAGATGTTTTCAAATATCTCAGATGTCACTAGTCATCTTAGTATTAATTCATAGCCTCTAAAAAACTTGGAATAATTTTATTCTATTTTGCCATGTATCACCAAAAATCTACATAGTTTTAGGGAAAGGTTAGTTGGGACAGTCTAAAAAATTATTAATTACTGATCTACAAGGCTGATATTATAGCTGAAGAAATTAAATGATGTTAAGTCATATATTTAACTTTACACTGTTAAGGCTACAGCTAATAATGTCCAACATAAATATTTGAACTTTACTCTTAAAGTAACTGTGATGATATTTCACCCATTCTTTCACTTCTTCATTCACTCATTCCATCATATGTAAGGTTCTTGGTTACAAACTGAAGACACAAAGATGAATGAGACAAGGGTCCTGTCCTAAAATGTTAACAGCTGAGGTACATATCATGTCTCCAGTTTTACATATAAGTAACTGAATCAAAGGGAAAATGTTCATTTTATGAATCGTAGAAGTACTGAATCTTCGTAAATTTCCATCCTATCAAAAATATTTCACTTTGTTCTTTGAGGGAAAAAATAAGATCAGAATAAGTCCAATCTTACTGTTCAAAAATTCACTTTAAACAGTTATTGTTGTAATCTTGGAACTATTATGAATTTATCTACTCTCTTCATTCAAATTATGTGTGATTTGGTTTTGATCACCTCTTCACTAAAACTATTCCTAAGTCAGGGAGGAATTATAATAATGTATTATTCTAACCAGAAAACAAAGATTCAGTAATTCAAGAATTGTTTCAGTACATATTCAAGATTTTTAAAGGAATGCTTGTTGTTCACTAAATGTGAATTACAATAGAAGATGACAGCATTTGAACAATAACTCTAATAATTTCTTTTCTGGGCAAAAGATAAGCAAAATCTATTTAACATCTTTTAATGATTGTTCCACTTTAAACATAAAACCATGTAGGGACAGCCATAGTTATAACTTAGTTAAAATATATTTTTCCTTAGAATATATTTTTTGCAATCATGTTGTCCATTTTACATATTGATTGTAAAATTAAGGGAAAATGCCCTGATAACTACACCGAAAGATATACCCATAAAAATGGTGCATGCGGCTATTAAGGTCTTATTTTGTAAGAGAAAAATTTAAATATACATTTTAACAGGAATGTTTTTAAATGATATAGTTCATTATTTAAAATTTGCAGGCAATTTTAGCTCTGAATGAAGTTTCAAGATAACTAAATTTCACTTTATGTCTCCAAAGTAGAATATTTTTTCATCTTACCCTAAATGTTCTCTAATGGCCTTTTTAGTGGATAAATTTAACTTGTAATTATGATCATTTAGACTGCTAGCTTATCATTCAAGTTATAACAGACTATTTCCTCAGAATAGTCTGCTTCATTATCATTTATAGACCTACATATATGGAACTCTGTATAAAAATATGAATGCCCTTATTTTTTAAATAGCAGATATATAATTACACATGGTAATAACACTATCCCATTTTATATCAACAGTACACTATTTGTTCAAGAAAAAAAATTTTAATAGGTTACTACTGGAATGGTTTAAGTTTTGGTGAGGAAGTTCATTTTGCATACCGCATTTTCTGTTTTATACCTACCTAACTGCTATTCAACCAGTGTGCTTTTAATGATTTACTCTATTAATTCTGTGTTTCAAATGCTGAATCATCAAAAAGCATTAAAAATTACTATTCTAAACCACAATGCTGTATGTACTCAATATTATATGGTATATACGCAGCTTCTCTCTCTCCTCTGTGTATAATACGTATCCATTTTACTACTGAGAGAATTTGATTTGGGTCCACTGATTTTAGAACAAAATTTTTAAAAAATTTAGAGTTGTCAATGAAAGATGACCTGATATAAAAGGAGCACAGGATTTGGATTCAGACAAAAAATTAAAAACATGTTCAAATTCTCATGTTAGTTACTAGATGTATGAACTTGTGCAAGCTTATTAACTCTAAATCTTAACATTTTTGTGTATTAAATGTGGACAATAATTGCACAGGGTTGTTCCTCTGGATTAAATATTCTAAAATCTGAGCTCCTTTATGGTAGACTACAAAGCCTTACATGATCTGGTCTCTGTCTCATCTCATATCATTCTTATATTCCTTCACCTGGTTCTGGCCACATTCTCTAAATGAACCAGGCTCAATCCTAACTCTGAGCTTTTGCACTTGTATTTATTCCCATTTAAGAAGGCTTTTGCCTAGGAAGTCTTTTTCCTTTGCTTCATTCAGGTCTCTGCTCACCCCCTTTGAGGTTGACGCTTCACTAACTTCATTATCTAAATGGCACCTCTGACAGCCTCACCATTTCTGATTTATTTATGATAAGATCTATAATACCTGAAACATTATATATTTACTTACTTATTATTCACCTTCCAATATTAGGGTCAATGTGGACAGGGATGTGCTACCTTGTAACTATAACAGTACCTGGGACACAGCTGTTGCATAATAAATAGTGGAATAAGTCAATGAAAAAGTGGGCAATACCTATAAAACCATTTGCTGCACTTTTCATACCATAAGCACTCAAGGTATTAGTGGTGATCATAAATAATAATGAGAACATGTTTTTATTAACTGATGGTCTTTGAAATGGCTGAGCTACATTTTCTTGATCAGACTGCAGACATATGATGTTAAGCATGAACTGCCCATCAGGGATTACTGACTCCAATCTCTGCTCTTCAACCCCTTACTAGGAATAAAAAGGAATGATTCATCTAAAATATTAAGATATTACTGTCTTTTCCTATAACTTCTCTAACATGTGTCTATTATGGAAAGAAAGATATGCTGATACTTTCAAAATCTCTTTTTCTCAGTTGACGTTTTCAAAAATACTGCAAATACTAATTTCCAGCAGAAATGTTTTTAGAGCTACTGCACACCCTGTGAGCTTGTAATCTGAATTGAAGATAAGGCGTTTTAGAGTGACAAACTGGCATAAGGCACAAAGAGATCAAATGTACTAACATGGCATGCCTTGGTTTTATGATTTCAGGACCAAGTTTAGGTATTTTCTGATAAATTCTTTCCCAAATATTTGATTATTAATATCCTTGTAAGGTGATTTTTTAAAATAGCTCTTTATAAAATAAATTATGGAGAAAAAAAGATGAGTCACTTTCAGTGAATTAAATTGGGACAAAGTTGATTTTTATTAATAACCACCAAGAAGCATATAAAATAAAAATTTACAACAAAAGGTACAGAACTTAACATATATTTAACAAAGATTACTTAAAGCAGTGGTCCCTAACCATTTTGGCACCAGGTACCAGTTTCATGGAAGACAAATTTTCCTCAGATGGCAGAGGGTGAGGGAGGAGGAAAATGGTTTTGGGATGATTCAAGTACATTACATTTATTGTGTAGTCAAACTTCTCTGCTAATGACAATCTGTATTTGCAGCCACTGCCCAGCACTAGCATCACCACCTTAGTGCCACCTCAGATCATTAGGCATTAGATTCTCACAAAAAGCATGCCTAGAACCCTCGCATGTGCAATTTACAGTAGGGTTCGTGCTCCTATGAGACTCTAATGCTGGCCACTGATCTGACAGGAGGTGGAGCTTATGCTGTGATGTGGAGCTACTGTAAAAACAGATGAAGCTTCCCATGCTTGCCTGCCACTCACCTCCTGCCGTGCAGCCCATTCCTAACAGGCTAATACTGGCACCAATCTGCAACCCAGAGGTTGAAGACTGTAGACTTAAAGGATCTGCCTTATGTCAAATCTTACAAGGAAGCATGTGAGAGAAGGGGGTTTCGTGAATATAGCTCTGCTCTTTACTTTGCTAGAGATGATCTTTTTGTGTCCTGTGCCTTACCTATCATATCAAAAAAGACCTTCTTCTTGGTCAAAATGGTAAAAATGCAAACAAATCGCAAGCAATGTTTCTTCCAGTATGTTTCTCTTGGGCTGTTCATAAAATTACAAATTCCTCAATAGCCCTAAAACTTTTGAATCCCTGGTACGGGTATTCTGAATTCTGCTTTATTAATAAGCACCAAAGGTAACATTTTTTATGTATTCTAAAAGTTTCAAGCTACTTGAGAGTTTATACTATAATCTGACAACTCATGCCTGTGCCATGTAAATTCTGATTTAGTAGGTCTGAGAAGGAGTCTAAATATATCAATTTCATAAGTACCCTAAGAGATCCTTGGGATCAGGGAAGTTTAGATAGTATGTATGGTTCTGCATAGAATGTGAGTATTACAGATTTAGAATAGAGTATGCAGTTCTTGAAGATTTAAACTCAGCTGAAGGGTACTTGGACATATGTGATAACTAGAGAGATGATTCAGTCTTAGCTGGCTTACTGAAGGAATAGGTCCTGATAAGATATAGTATAAATGAATGTTTCTGATCAAGGTGTTAAGGTTATGTCAATGCCAGGTATTACTATGATATAATATACTAAGAAGTTTCAGGAGATTCTTAGTATAGAAAAATGGGAGCAAAAGTAGATTGAAATCTAGCTACAGACTCAGAAAATCCTGTTTCCATTGCTTTGTTCTCTACATATCACCTTCCTAACAAAGAAGCAAGAAAAAAGAGAGATGAGACAGGAACATAGAAACTCAATAATTCCTAAGTTTTTCTGAGGTACTTGCTATGTGTCAGATAATGTTCTAGAAGTATTTTGCAGATATCATCTCAAGTCCTTAACAATACTACATGATGAGAAATCTGAAGCATAAAGAGGTTAAGCAATGAGCGCAAGCTTACACAATGAGTAATAAAGCTAGAATTTGAATCCAGGTAGAATCAAGTGATATTAAGACAATGCAGAAAACATAGATGCAAAACACAGTTGACACTGTATTGGACATCTTTTGTTTATTTCCTCAGATGGTAAATTATTATTAATACTATATTCTGTATTTTAAAAGCTTAGTATTCAATCAGTTCTCATGATCTCCATTTCTTATCCTGTCAACATCTTCTGGCAACAGTGGCTACAACTACACCAACAAAAAATCTCTCTTGACAATTTACTGATTGAGTTGAAGTTAATCTGATTTTTTCCATAATTATAAATTTAGTCATAATATACAGGATTTCGTTGAAGCATTTTCATTAAGTATTTTGAGCCTTCATAGCCTCATTTGCACAGGAAGGCAATCTCTTCCTAACCCAGCATTTCAGTGAAGTTTGAGTTCACAAACTAAAACCAAGATCACTGCCATGTTAGAGAGGAATGCAACACAGCCAGCTAAAACACTGGGACTTTTCATATGAACTGCCATTAAACTGAACTCTCACTAAACCTGTGTGTATGTTTCTTAAGGATGAGTCAGAGAGAGAGAGAAACTTTAGATTTTCGGGGTTGCTGAGGTATTTCAGAATATTTACTCTGTTGGATGTTTTTCTCCCTGTAATTATGATGCCTACAGATTTTCTGAACCATCATCTGTCATAGATAAAAATGTCCAGGACCCCAGATCTAAGGACTGAGCTTTTCAGCACACCTTCAGAGGTTGCCTTCTAGCTCAGTACTAATCCATTAATCACCTCAGTATGGAAATAATGCACTTAACTGCTCTACTATCCACTCACATTGTGTCTACAAGGATATTGTGGGGAAAAAAAAATCAGACAATACCTGGCTGACATCACCTTATACCCATGGCATTCATTTAATCTTTCAGTGTTTTGATCAGAAGAGAAAAAAAAACAAACAAGTGTTTTTCTCCCAATAAACCTGGGCTGCCTATTACTGTTCATACCATCTTCTGATCTAAGAAATCAACTTGTCTTTTTAATGTATTGATTTAGAATCATGAAGAACTCTTCAGTGAGCTAACAGAAATGTATGCAATGACTCTAGACTCTCAATTACTTCATTTAAAACCTTGAGTCTAAACCACAATGAATACAAATGGACTGATATTTTCTCTATACTGAATACTTCATATAGATTTTGACTCCTAAAACAATTCTTTTATCATGTCACTTTCTGTCAATATATGAAACTTAAATCAGGAAACAAATTGTATACTTTCAATATTTTGGAACTACCTCTTCACCTACAGTTTCTCAGGATAACTGATAATAACTGAAAACATAACACATTGGTGGTTTTCGATATTTTGAAAACTAATTCAATTAGACCTGATTATTTGAACTTGTTAATAACAGTTAAATATTTGTTCTATTATACTTATATAATGATTTAATTTTTTCTTTAAAAAGTTTTATTACTAAGGAAGTATGGGCTCATTCCTCAAAAATAAAATAAAGCTAACATAAATATATACAATAAAAAGTAAAAGTCCCTTGTTTTACTTTATCTTCTTTTGGAAGGAATCATTAAATATGTAGAGTCATGGAGCATGATGAAATAACCTATATAAGAATATTATTATGATTGTGGTATGTAGTTATGTGGAGAATTGTTGATGCACTTTCTCCCTTTGTATAAGTCTGAGATTTTGAATCAGAAAGTATAAAACATAATTTCCAATGTTTAATCTCTATAGCTACAATTGAATGAGGAATTTTTAAATCATGTATCTATTTTTGATTTAGAGGCTGTTCCTAGGGTAGGGAGAATAAAATTACTTCATTAATCAACATCGCATTATTGGTTATTATACAAATAAGTAAAAAGATGGTGCACACATATTTGTATACTTTACAGATTATTACAGAGTCTAATGGAATAGTTAAAGGGATATGTAAAAAGATATTTAAGTAAACCACACCAGAATATATCCCACAAGAAAAATAACTGCCCATCCAAAGAGATCACCAAAATCTATCCACCAAAAATAAGAGTAAAAAAAAAAGTAAAGTCATGGTACCAGTTAAAAAAATCATTTTCTCCTAATCCCTCTGATGAATACAAACAACAGGAGTAAAAAGTAAGGTTAGTTCTAGGACACATGCTATAATTAATTCCTTGCCAACATGTTCTTAGTTTGGATTTAAAACAACTCAATTCAAATTTTAGCAATTTAACTAGGACTTAGGTAATAAAAATAATCTCCTCTCCACCTCCACCCTTTTAAAATCCTTTAGTTTTAAATCGATAGCATTGTACCCAAAGCACAATGGAAAATGGCATTTATTTAAACAAAACATCATTAAATGGAAAATAACTCTGGCAATTATTTAATATAAAGAATGAAATTAATTTACATAGAAACTATTTGTTGACCTTGAAAAACCTAGGAAATGATAAATGTTGGTTTCAGTGTATACACATATGTGTGTGCCTGTAGGATGGCAAGGGTAGTGGGGATAAGGAAACATACTTTAGATGCAAATAAATACTTTTAACTTTAAACAAATAATTGGATTTCCATTGAGAATTGCACACTAGGATGTATTTATATATCACATACTTCCTAAAGTCCAGAACTTCAAAAGTCACATTAATGTGATTGAGAAAGCAATTATATTTTGTTTTAAAATATAAATACTTATATATCTGGTCCAGTGTCTGGAAAAGTATCTTATATTGAGCAATCAAAGTTAGCTATTAACTCTTAGTATTTTCCCTATATATAAACATACTTACTTTCAAGAAAACTTGTAGATCTTGAGTCTGTGTGTGCTGTAGAATGTCTTGTTGTAGATGTTTGAATATAGCTATACAGATATACACTTGATAATCAGGACCAAGGAAAACACAAGTAGCAATATAATGGCAGATTTCTATCCAATCTAAATAATTCCAAAAACACTGAGTTATCCATTGCAGGCAAATCTTAAAAAAAAAAAAAAAAAAAGTAGTTCATTAAAAAGCTTATAAAGCCACATTTGACTTTCAAAATACAATAACCAATAACTCACATAAAACCAATGAAAACTTTAGCATTTAATCAAAATAGAAAGACATTCTTCATAGAATCCTAACAAGCATGCTTCTCCTGTTTGCCTAATGTGTAAAAACTTTCATGGCCTTAGGATTCAGGACTTAAGTATATAACTGCTAGTGTTCACCCCACTCATATACCTATTGCTGAATGTCTTCTTTATACACATTGTCCTCCTCTCACCCATAACACCAATCTGGCTCTCTAGAGATAACAAATGCTAAAACACTATTTTAATTCAGAGATGAGAGTTTTTTTTCTATCCTACCTACAATCACAGATGTATAATTATGCAGATGACAGATTGCTAAATGTTACATTAATGCAAATGGACTTGTGCTGAATCAGAAAACAATTTAAACCAAACAGAATTATATAACATAAAAACTAGAAGCTAATATAGAGAATATTTCAAAAATGAGACTTTTATAAAAGAGCTTTTTTGTTTCTTTATTAAATAATTTATTTTCTGAGTAACATTTGTTCAGCTTGTAAAAACAACGCAGGCCCACTTTGGAAAACACAGAAAAGTTGAAGGGAAAAACCCAATAACAATGTCATAGAAATTATTAACATTGCTAGCATTTTGAATCATTAATGCTTTGGGTCAAATTGAGTCCCCCTTTCCTCAGGTATGTCAAAGCCTCAATGTCAAGTCTCCAGAATGTGACCTTATTTGAAAAATAGGAAATCAAGTTCAAATAAAATCATCAGGGTGAGCCCTAATCCAACATGACTGATGTCTTTATAAAAAGGGAAAACATGGACTCAAACACATTGTAGAAAGACAATGAAAAGACACATGGAGACCACCATGTGAAGACAGAAGACTGAAGAGATGCATCTATAAGCCAAGGAACACCTAAGACTACCAGAGGCTAGGAGAGAAGCATGAAACATTCTCTCCCTAGCAACTTCAGAGTGAAAATAGCCTTGTTAATATTGTGATTTTAGTCTTTTGGCCTCCAAATTGTGAGAAAATGTATTTATTTATGATTTTTTTTATTTTGGCATATCATGGGGGTACAAATTTTAAGGTTTCAATAAATGCCCTTTCCTCCCTTCCCCCCACAAGTCTGAGTTAACAGCATGACTATCCCCCAGATGGTGCACATCTTACTCATTATGTATGTATATACCCACCCCCTCCCCCCTCCCACCTGCCCAATATGCTATTACTGTAGTACCTATGTGTCCACTTATGTGCTGCTCAGTTAATACCAGTTTGCTGGTGAGTATATGTGGTGCTTGTTTTTCCATTCTTGGGATATACTTCACTTAGTAGTATGGGTTCCAGCTCTAACCAGGAAAATATAAGGTGTGCTATATCACCATTGTTTCTTAGAGCTGAATAGTACTCCATGGTATACATATACCACATTTTATTAATCCATTCTTGGATTGATGGGCACTTGGGCTGTTTCCACAGCCTTGCAATTATGAATTGTGCTGCTATAAACATTCCACTGCAGGTGTCTTTTTTGTAGAGTGTCATTGGATCTTTTGGGTAGATGCCCAGTAATGGGATTGCTGGATCAAATGGTAGATCCACTTGTATCGCTTTAAGGTATCTCCATATTGCTTTCCACAGAGGTTGATTTTAACAAAGTTTATTTATAGTTTAACAAAATAATATGGAATTGAATATAATTTCACACCTATATTTAAAATTTATCTAAGTTAAACTCTGTATGGTATTTGACCTATTCCATTACAGAAATGGAACTCTGGATAAAGCACTTTTGTAAAAAAAAATTGTAAATCAATTACTGAGTTACATTTGGAGGCCTAAAACAAAGTGAAAACGGGAACTCAGTGAAGCATGTAAAAACCACAGCTAGCTTTCACTCAAAGAGTTTCTGCTAAACCTTGGAGACCATGAGCTTCTGGTGTGTGTTTTTTTTTTTAATTTTGATGGATTTAGGAGAATACAAGTGGTTTTTGATTACATGGATGAACTGTACAATGGTGATGTTTGGTGTACCCACACCCAAATAGTGTACATTTCACCTAATAGGTAGTTTTTATTTTCTCAACCTTCACCTACCATCCCACTTTCTGAGTGTCCAATGTCCATAGATATACTACCCTATATGCTGCTGTGTACCTGTACCTTAGCTCCCACTTGTGAGGACATATGTATTTGGTTTTCCATTCTTGATTACTTTACGTAGGATAATGGTCTCCAGTTCCATCCAAGTTGCTGTAAAATACAGAATTTCGTTCTTTTTTTATGGATGAGTAAGTAGTATTCCATGGTGTATGAGGGTTGTCCCGAAAGTATCCAACCATATAACTGTTCTTCTTATATTAACAATGGCTGGATACTTTCTGGAGAGCCTTGGTATACACACATTTTCTTTATCCATTCCTCAGTTGATGGGCACGTAGGTTGATTCCATATCTTTGCTATTGTGAATTGTGCTGTGATAAACATGATTGCCTATGTCCTTTTTGTAGAATGAATTCTTTTCCTTTTGGTAGATACTCATTAGTGGGATTGCTGGATTGAAAAGTAAATCTACTTTTAGTTAAGAAATCTCCATACTGTTTTCCATTTACAGTCCCACCAATAATGTATAAGCATTCCCTTTTCACTGCATCCATACCAACAGCTATTATGTTTTGATTTTTTAATAATGGCTATTCTGCCTGGGTTAAGGTAGTATCTCACTGTGGTTTTAATTTACATTTCTGTGATGATTAGTGATGTTGAGCATTTTTCTATATGTTTGTTGGATGTTTGTATCTCTTCTTTTAAAAAAAAGTCTGTTCATGTTTGTCCACGTTTTAAATGGGATTATTTGGTTTTTTCTTGCTCATCCGAGTTCCTGGTAGATTGTGGATATTAGTACCTTTGTTAGATATATAGTTTGTGAATATTTTTTCCCAATCTGTAGGTTGTTTATTCTGTTGATTATTTTTTTCGCTGTGTAGATTTTTAGACACTCAGTCCATGGTATTTGTTACTGCAGCCATTAAGAAACTAATGCAATTTCTAATATTTTAATTTCATTTATGATTTGCAAATTACTATTAAAGAAAGATAGCCTTCATTGAACCTCTCCTCTTTAGTCTTAAGGTTTTCTGGGGGGGGGGGCAGCGTAAAGAAAAAGGGAACAGATATGATGGCTTACCTCAATTTGTCATAAGTATAGAAGATATACAAATTTCACTTTTTTGTTCTTATCATTTTGTCCTTCTAAAAATACCTTCTTGAATAGGTTCTAAAAGTTTTGTTTTTTACATCCTTGATTCAACTTTTTTGGCATGTTGATTCTGCTTTTAACTGACTTTAACATGGCATATTAGTCTGCTAGGGCTGGTGTAACAGAGAACCACAGACTGGGTGGCTTCAATAATAAAAATTTTCTCCTTATTCTGGAGGAGTCCCATGTCAAGCTGTTATCAGGGCTGGTTTCTTCTGAGGCCTTTCTTCTTGGCTTGCAGATAGCTGTCTTCTCCCTGTTTCTTCATACGGGCTTCTCTTAGTACATGTCTGTCTCCAAATTTCCTAGGACACCCACTAGTCATATTGAATTAGGGTCCAACCTAATGACCTCATTTTAACTTCATTACTTCTTTAAAGGCCGTATCTTTACATATTGTCACATTCTGAGGGACTGGGAGTTAGGACTTCAACATGTGAATTCTGGGGGACACAATTCAGCCTATACCAGAAGGTATTATTGAGTTTTTATTTTTTATACATTATTACTCATATCAGCAATTAACTTTTTAATTTTTAGCCATTAGGATCATATCTTTTCATCTCACCTTCTGGTCATATTTCTTCTTTTATTATTGATAATGCCAACTGTATGGCCATCTAAATTTTTTTTGTTATTATAATTCTCTTTTCATGTATAAGATTTTCCTTTATAAGTATAATAATGCTTATCTTCTATTATGTTCTAAAATCTTTCCATAGAGCCTACAAATTTAATTCAATATTGAGTCAGAATATTTGAATTCCAAATATTTGTCAACATGCAGGTTATATTAAATTCTCCTTGGTCCCAACTTTACTGTTCACTTGGCATTAATAGAATTTTTTTTGCCAAATTTGAACCTGGAGAGTATGTTGGCATGCAGAGTACACATCAACAAACCTCCACTGTTGCCACCTCCCCCAGAAAATCCATGTAACATGGCTCTACTGGATCGAGGAGGAAACATCTCCTGCTCCCACCTGACTAGGCAGTTTAAAGTAGTCAGTAGTATTTTAATGAGAAGCAGTTCTTCTAATTCCCTACTGCACTGCTTTCAGAATCTCTGTCTCTGTTCTTTGCTACAGCTATTAATGCTAGTCAACTTACAGCCATGTGGTATTAATGCAAATTACAGTCTCTGAATAAATAAAGAAGGAGAAACAATTGAAGAGTAAAAATAAATAAAATGATTCCCACAGCCAGAGAAAGCAGTTCCCATTCAATTATCAGTTTCAGGAGTAATTGGTAAGTTAGTCAAAGATAAGAGGTCGGATCTTCTGTCCATCATCTATACTGGTTAAAAAAAGGCAACCTTTGGAAATCCATACCATGCTCGTGGATCGGCAGACTCAATATCATCAAAATGTCTATACTACCCAAACTGATCTACAGATTCAATGCAATACGTATTAAAATCCCATCAGCATTCTTCACAGATATAGAAAAAATAATTTTACGCTTCGTATGGAACCAAAGAAGACCCCGAATATCAAGAGCAATTCTAGGCAACAAAA